CAATAATTTGGATTAAATCATCAACATTTATGAGTAAGGTATACTTTGGACAGTACACTTGCCCAAGTAAACTATGGATGAAAACCAGAGTCCCGGTTTTAAGTAAAATCTGCCTGTCTGCAGAAGTAAAGAGACTTGTAAGACTTGAATAAATAGGGGAGATTATTCCTTTTAAATTCAGTTGCAGAAATATTTAACAAATACCAAAATATTCTGGAAGTTAGGTTTTGCACTGAGAGCCTCATAATCTACCATGAAAACAAGTATATGTAGAAAGTATAATTAACTAAATTAGTAATTATAGAATTAATTAAATTTTCTAAAGTGCTAATTATGGATTTAAAAGTCATTTTAGATACTGGAAAAAAGATCTCGGATTACTCTAACAAAATTATTAAACTTATAAAGAATTCAAGAGATTTACAAAAATCAGACATTTTGAGCTCAAAAATATTTAAATTAATAACTCAATAAATTATAGTTCCTTTAGGCAATGTAATTAACCTTTTAATTTTAGGTAGGTCCCTCCAGTTTTGAGATGAAAGCTTTAGAAAAGCGTATAATAGCATTTTATATCTGAACAACACTTTGAAATTTGAGTTATATTTTCTGATAATTTATTTGTTAATATACATAGGTCAAGAATTGCTTCCATTTTCCACTTAGGGCTGATATAGTTTAAATTTGTTAATCAGCTATGCAAAGGGTTGGAATTCAGTTCTAAACACAGAGGCTTCTATTCTCTGCCTTTCCTGTGTTACTTTGAGTCCAACATAATATATCCTTGACAACAGTTGAAAATATATATCATTATAAGACAAAATAAAATTTTTAATAACAAGAAACTCGCTGTATTAGTTTTCTAATTAAACAAAATTGTCCTCTATTATATTATGCAGCTATTATTTTCAGCATTCATCCTAAAAAAGTGGCACTTGATAATTAACTAATTGTACAGATTTTATTTAAAAATTCTGTGTTCTCATTACTGGGTTAAATATAATCATTTTCCTGTAACTGTATAAAGTAGAACAGCATAACATAATTTTTATTGTGGAGCTTGATTCTTGCTAACAACAAATATTAACAATGAAAGTTTTCTTTACCTAAAGATGGAGGAGGATGCCATCCGAATTTACTTTTTCTCAGCTGATTTCTAGTTCCTTGTGCTTGGGCACACAGGTCATACATAATTCACAGCTGTTTGTTGTCTGGGTTTTTCCTTTTTCAAGTGAATGTTTACTTGCTTCATTCAAAGCCCAATATTTGGATAATAGAACAGAATCAGGGACATGAATGTTAAGAGTGTACAAAGACCCAATCTCTTCTCCTTTGTTCTAAGAAAGTGAATATTTCATAGCTTATGTGTAGTCATACAAATAAAATGATTCATTTTTGCTTTAAATTCAAGATATATTTTAAAACAGCTTTTTAAAATTCTTAAGTGTAACTCAATGAATCTTGTGAAATTTAAACTAGAAATATTTATGGAGTTGGCATCGTTGACCACTTTTCCCGATTTTGTGAAAGTTTAGTCAGGTCATTTATTCCATTATACAATAAAAAATACTGTGTGATTTAAACCTTTAAATGAAATGAAAAAAGATTTTATTAATACTTGTTTCTTCATCTCTTCTCCAAATTCGGAAAGGAAGTATGCTTATAACGATGACCTGCCAGACAGTTCTATATGTTTTAATAATCAAATTTTTAAAAAGATAGTATACAGAATTTTTTTTTTAAGTCATTTCCCCAAAGATGGAACAAAGCACAAAATCTGTCATGTACTCAGAAGGGTGTAAGGAGAATGGACTGGGTTGGGGATGTAACCAACCATCTCATTACATAAGTAGATTCACAGCCCAGTTGGGTCACAAATTATGTTTCTAAACTTAGGAGATGAGTCTTCACCATAAATTATTGAAAAGCACTCTGTGGTCCTCCTCGCTTCATTTTTCCTAAATTAGATAAATGAGGGCAATAAAGCACCTTTAGAAAGTGTTTTCTTTGCTGTTTTGAAATCTTCCTTTATTATCAATTAGTGTCAACTTTCAACACATCATGTATATCCAGGAAATATTGAAATCAAAGGACAACATAAAGAAGCAAGGAAATGAGTTCTAAGAGAAACAAAATATAATTCTCCCTGCTAGAGAGATATAACTTATTAATAAAATAATTTCAGGTTTCTAGATTTCCTTGGGAAAGAAATATAATAACATATTGTTAAATAAATAACCCCCCACATTTTGTTTCCATGTTGTTATACCGGTTTTCGGTGAAATAACCATAGCTGAACAAGTTTTATGAAGATAATTTCATTCCATCATACCTTGCATGAGCCACTTTTATTTTTAGTTCACATTTAGTTTTTGAGTTTACATATATTCATGATTTTTGTTCATAAGTCTGATAACCAATTGATGGAAGAAAATAAAAAATGAAGCTATGAAATGCTACATTGTATTTGAGAAGATTTGGTTGCTCTACTTAGCTTCTGATTTTTTTCTATGCCTTCTGTCTTTCTGTAGTTGAAATGGGAGCAACAATCCCTTTTGTCTGTTTACTTAAATGGGTGATTGACAAGCTTTTTGTTAGCAAAAGTCTTTTCAGAATTGCTTTTCACATTCTAAATTGAATATGGAGCATTGTGCCATGTAGGACTCTTAGGTTCCAAGTTTTAAAATAGCCGGCATAAATTGACTGATGTTAAAAGGGTATATATTGGCTCTCATAAATGAAAGCCCTGCAGATACAGTTGTATTCAGGAATTGCAGAAGGGTAACCACACTCTATTTTGCTACGCTGATGGCTTCAAACTCGAGTTTTATGTTATACCAAGGTGGCAGCACAGCTCAATTCCCTATAGTTCTGAGATCTTAGCTTGGTGGGAAATACAAGTCTGCCTGTCTCAGGGTTTCTCACAGATGCTCCTACAGTGTCAAAGACTCCACCGTCACAGTCCTTTCCTCAGCTTAGCCTTTTCTTAATGAGTGAGGATACAGTTTTTTCAGATCCCAGAGGTAGTTGTAGTTCTGCTTACATTCTCCTGCGGCAGTAGAGCATACTACTTAGTGCCCTTTCCTCGATTTGTGCTGCCTAGCTCTTTTGATTTAGAATAAAAGCTTCATTAACTGAAAGGGAAAGTGCTTTGCAGTGAATATGTTGGCTTGGAAATAAAATTTGTGAGATATCAAATAATTACAAAAATTACCAAAAAATTAATTACAAAATATGTTTAAGAAAAAATAATCACCTAGTTCTTCAGACTTTAAGTGTTTCCTTCTGATTAGCCACTGTCTATTTCTATGTGAATGATCCATCGTGTTTACAGATTGGGTGACATCGGCATGTGGACCTTAATAGTCTTGTATTTGTGTGTTATAAAAATCTGCTCTAATCAATTTTCTTTCATACCAACTGAACTATTACTAGGGAGGCATTAGAGAATTAAAAACTACTAATTTTACATACAGCTCTATTTTGTTGGTTAGTCAAAAGTATTTTTAATCTGGCTTCACAGATTTTTCAGGTGATAAGCATTTTGAACTTGATTCATTTTGCCACTAGATAAGCCTTACCCTGCTTGGAAGAAGCTAGATTTCTGCCATTCACAGATATCCTAGTGCGCAGCTTCATGGGACATACACATGGCCATGTACATATTGATGCTGAGGAATACAGTACTTATGTTCTCTCTGTCTCTTACTTTGAGGTTGTGTATGGGCACGCATGGAGTTGTTTCTATAAAAATGTTCAGGTCGAATCACTTTTGTTTTGTTGTGACATTTGCTGCCTCACTATCCGAGAGTAGGTGGCTTTGTGCTGACAAATCCTTGGCATTTTGCCCAAGAGAAGGGTTTGTTTCATCAAAAGAGGCCATCACCCTGTCGTTGCCCATGTATTGGTAATTAAAATGTGGACAGTGGACTGTGGAAGAAAATGATCAAAAGAATGCATTAAAATGAAAACGTTAGCTAGGCAGAATCATTTCTAATGAGGAAGAAAAGAGCTCTTTGAGGCTGGGTGACTTGTGTGAGCGTATGTGAAATATGGATTATGTTTCTGAAAGAGAATTGTTTCTAGGAAACTATAGAAAGCACCCTAATTATGTGACCTCTACATGTCAGGAATAAATATAAAATTTAGGTCACATTGCATTAAACTAGTAATAACTAACCCACAAACAGTCTTCATGTCCTTGGATTATTTCCAAAAGAAATAAGATGTAACGTCCTCTTTAAGGAATGGGTACCATCTCACAAAGACCGTATTTACTTCCAAGTTCATAACCAATGCTATTGTGTTTTCACTACTGAAATTTTGGTCTTCTATTGTAGCCTTCTAGAGCATGACTAATGCTTAAAAAAGAATATCTCTATATAAAACTTTTGTTGTTTCACTGACCATGACTTTAAATTAATAAATGTCAAGCTCTTAAACTCTACCCAGAACAGTAAAGAAGAAAGAGCCCAAGGTGGTGGCTCTCCTTTGACACTCCAGGTCCCATAGGAGGGGCTAGCGTTCCTCTCTGGAACCTTGTTCCGACCATGCTCTGTGCTGCTGTGATTTCTTTTTTTGGTAGATGTGCACCTCACTCCGTTTCTTTGGTTTCTTTGGAGTTGAGCTGAGCATGAGTGGGTGACTTCCTTTCCCAAGCTTGGGCCAAAGCTGTGGTCAGCATCCACTTTGGCCAAGACATGCTTGACCCAGTTCTGTCGCAGGCAGCTGACCAAGAGGTTGCTTTGGGAAGCTGGGATGAGTCAGAGAAGAGGAGTTACCCTCTGGGCAAAACATGCAGGTTGCTTAGGTGAATCTTTGGGCCTTTTCACCTCCCCTTGCTCTTTCTTTTAACCCCTTATCTCAGCTTCCTAGATCCCTTCTGTTTTGGCCCAAGTGCTTGAAACCTGTTACTTCCTATCAAGTTTTAGCAGCGAATTGAGATAGGGGTAAAAATGCTAAGAACTGACTTTTCTCCTTCCAGCCAAATGACTTTTGGAAGATACTGTAGTGAGAAGACAATTGTGGAAAAAGCTGAAAATAATATTAAAATAGTTAGGAATGAAAGACATGTTCTATGCAAATGGTGAGTAAATAAATGAAATAGCATTTTGGTAGTGTGCATGCGCAAATGGTTTATTCTGCCAGTTTTGTTGCTTTTTCCTTCTTTGGAGGCATCTGTCTTCTGGAGAGGCAGTTTGTGAACAGGTAAACCAAGCTTTACTTTATTGAGTGTAATTGACTAACGGCAACCATAGAAAATAGCCGCTAGCCTGCAAGCTTTGCTCCCTTGCCAGTGACTCAGCCTACCTAGGGTGATGATTTAATTTTCATGGTATTCAAATTACAAATTAACATTTTGTGAGTGTAGATTTGGGGGACTGTGCTGAAGCCGAGTAGAGTTCTCTGAGGGTTCTGTGCCCCTTGGGCTACATCATATAATTTCCTTATTAAAGTGCAGGGAAATTAGCTTTTGGTTTTCTTACAGCATATCTTCTAGTCCTTGTGTTTCAGAAAGGCACTCATCTCTCCTATAGAATCTCCAAATCTCATAGCTCTTCCTATCTTAAAATAGTTCCAATCGTGAGTTTGCACATTGCTGTGGATGGAGTTGAATGATTGGGAAATCAAGTATATATTTGATGTTAATAATTGCAGCTGTACATGAGTAGATAACATAATTCTATCCCATTGCCATATTGCTGATAAATTATTTGTACTTTTGTTGAATTTTGAACCTTATTAAATTATGGATATACAACAGAGCTTTTGACCGTGGCTAAGCATGGTGTCAGGCAGCACAATTGCTTGATTATACAAAATTCTGTGGAATGATGGTATACAACAGCTGCATCTGTGGGCAAAATGCACAGGTATCTAACAAGAATGGGATTTTCTGAATTTGAATATAAAACATTGAGGAGGAAATACTACTATGCTCTCCTGTGTAATAGGTTGAGCATAAAAATTGTGAAAACAAACTGATGTTCTACTGTGACTAACATTTGCAACTTGACCTGTTTCATCAACTCTGGAAAATAAACAGTGGTTCCTAGGGAACAGTGCAAAAATCAGAAAGAAAATTAAATTACTAGCACTCTTTCTGTGGGGCAGCCTATTAACTCTGGAAAAGAATAACAAAATCAAATGAAATCTAGCAAAAAGTCTTGTGTGCGTATATATTTGTGTAAGTATATATGTACATCTATACACACACATACTTCTCAGACATTCATGGACTTGGCTGTCAAAAAAATTTAGTCTTACATATTTGGTTAAGTGCTGTGAACTAATACCAGATTGGTTTTTAGAATGCAAAGTTAGCTTTTCTGACATAATTTAATCATATTATACAATTACAAAATTAATGAAATTTTAAAATAAAAATGTGTTATGCCATGCAGAAGTAGGTACTAATAATATTAAACTAAATTTAAGTGATAAAATGGGGACTTTAAAGTGTTTCTTGTACAATTAAAGGATTTAAAATTTTTCTTTATATTTTTTAAAAAGATAAAATCCAAAAAGTTGCACTTACACAATCCAGGAGTTTCTAAAATGTCTATCATTTTGTAATTTAGAGGTATAATACGTGCCTCTGACTTTGTTAACAGCAGTATTAGCTGATTTCTGATAATAGGATTCCTACTTTAATTGCATAAAATTCATGTAAATTGGCACTGTACTTAACATGTGCTTTATAAAAATCATCTCAATGTCTTCTGGCGAATTTGAACTGAAATCATCACTTTGTTAAGACTTACAGTTCCTATCAGTATCTCCAGGGCAGCAACCGGATAGGGCCATCCAATTGTTTTAAGATCAGTTTCACTGTACTACTATTAGAAGAATTTCTTTCCTTAAATTTGGAAAGAACATATATTCCTGTTTGATTTTTGTCCCATAGTCAAGGAATACACAACTCTATGTGATTTGTTATGTATTATTTTAGGAACTTGTCGTTGCTGGCTAACCATGGGGATTGAATGGAATTTAAACAATTTTAGTAAGAGCAGTCTTTTAGCAATGTGTTCCTTCATCCGTTTAGTGCTTATAGAGTACAGAAAGAGGTGGGTAAAGGGCTTATGCAATTGCTGTCTGGGTAAACCCCACTCTTTATTTTTGTTTAGACAAATGTAATAAATTTTGAATGAATCAAATAATTTCACTAAATGTAGGAGTCTAAAAATGTGTTTAAATAGTTTTATATGATGATGCTTATTCTAGCTTATATTTAAGGATGCTTATTATATTTAGATATTCTGCTAAATATATTATGTTATATGTTATACAGATCATCTCATTTACTTCTCCCAGGTGTGAGTTACATTAATATCAAAAAAAGAGGGCTGAGGATGTAGCTCAGTGGCGCAGCGCCTGCCTGGCAAGCCCAAAGCCCTGAGTTCAATTCCCCAAAAGAAAATAGTAAAAAAAAGACCAAAAAAAAAAAAATTCCTTAAAAATTCAAAAACAGAGGCCCAGAGAAATTCAGTAACATAATCAGAGTCACTAAATTAGGAAAAGGTTATACTTAACTTAGTTCATCTTATTTAATATCTATTTTCTTTAATTAATTATAAGCCTGTGTTTGAAACCTCTGTTCTCAACATTTAAAAAGAAATGGGCTGGAAATTATATCTGTCATATAAAAATATGTCTGAACCTTTTTTTTTTTTTTTGGTTTTGGTTTTTCTCTGGTACCGGGAACCAAACTCACGACCTTGCGCTTGCCAGACAGGCGCTTTGCCGCTGAGCTAAATCCCCAGCCCCTGTCTGAACCTTTTAAGTAATGATGTTATAGCAATTTAATTTCAGTGGTCACTTTGCAGCATCTAATCTCCAATAGATGAATTTTTTTTTCCCGGTATTAGGAATCAAAATCACGACCTCACCCTTGCTGGGCAGGCCCTGTGCCACTGAACTAAACCCCCAGCCCTGATAAATGCATTATTGTTTGTTACAGTTTCTCATCTTTTTTCTTTCCTCGAGTCCTGTTCTCATCTACTGTTTAAAGTGTATATAGTATTATTCAGATACCAGGTTCACATTTATTTTATTTTATTTTATTTTATTTTATTTTATTTTACTTTTTGGTAACTGAAAACAAACTCACGACCTTGCTCTTACCAGGGAGGTGCTGTGCCACTGAGCTATTTCCCTGGCCTGATTCTTTTATTTTAAAATGCTGTTAGAAATCAGGACCTATTTTTCTGAATGCAGTAAAACTCACCTAGTGAGAATGATCAATGAACATTTTAACTCCCAAATGAAGACAGAGTATTACAACACTTTATACAAGCAAGGTCCCCTCCCAATTTCTGGTCCAACATTCTTACCCAATGGTTATCTCTATCTAGATTTCTACTATTGTAATTTCATTTTGCCTTTTTTAATGCTACACATTAACAATACCATTTTACAGTACACATTCTCCTATGACCTTTCAGGTTAAAGTTAAGTTTGTGGGATTGATTGTAAATTTAGTGTGCTTATTTTCACCGCTGTGTAATATCCACTCCCTGACGCTATCCCCATTTATGTACCGTTTTACTCTTGCTGGATTTTTTGACCAGTTGTGAATGAAGCTGTCATTGGGGAATTTTCACTATAAATTGCCATTGTGTAGCATACAAACATGGTCAAATTTAATACTTGGTTTTAAACTATTTTCCCAAGTGGATTTACCTGTGTGTAGTTCTATAACACCAGGGTATTAGTCACTCCACTTCTTCATGCCAGTATTTGCTGTTTCCAGTCTGTAATTCTAAACATGCCACTCAGTTTTGATTTTAATTAAAAATCTCCTGCAGAGTCCTGTTGTTGAAAGAGGTTGGAACTATCTTTTAATCTTATTTTAGATTCCTTCTTTGCACATTTGTTTAACATTTTGGCTTCTGCGTTCATGAACAAGATTAGCCTATAATTTTCTTATCTAGAAATTCTCTTGGTAGAGTTGGTACCAAGGTACACTCAGGAGAGTCAATGTTCTTTGTTTTCTAATTCCTGGAAACATTTGGTGTTGTTTCTTCTTTATAGTTTTGGTAGAACTTACTGATGAAATTATGTGGGTCTGGCATTTGTAGGAAGATTTTTCAGTATGGACTTCATGTTTTTCTTACTGATACTTTCATATGTACATATAATGTACTTTGTATACACACTTCCTGTTGGACTTTCTTACCCCCTGGACCTTTTCCTGTTGCTAGTAGCCCCCCTTGTTCTTTTACATTCAATTTTTTAATGGTTGTAGGACCAAATTATCTAATTATTCGTTTGGCAATTTTGGCTTTTCTAGAAAAATTTTCCCTTTTATCTTCAATTTCTATTTTTCTATTTTCAACAGAAACATCTATTGTAACATTGAAATTCCCCTTTATGTCACTGCGTTATTCTCTTGAATTTCCCATTCTTCACTGTGCACTCTTTCTGTTTAAATTTCTGTAGCTCTTTTCATTTCCTTTTAATGTTTTTCTTTCAGTTTAACTTTTAGTTCTTTTAATGTTCTGAAAGGATTGGTTGCTTGTCTATTTTTATCTTTTCTTCCCTATGTATTGAAGACCATATTTTTTCTCAGCATTATTATAATTTTTACCACCTTTCATATCATCCACTTAAAATTATTTTCTATTTCATTTGATTATTTTTCCTCTGACCCGCAAATGTAATTCTTATTTGCCAAAAGCACAGATATTTTATCTCTGCATTGTATTATGAACTTCTAGATTAGTTCCACCATGAGTAAAGGACATACTCTCATTTTCATACTTACAAATTTATGAAGAATTCTCTGGTCATTTATTATAAAGGATTTATATGTACTAAGAATAGGTGATTAAATTGTTTTCCACATTTATATCATTTACTGAGAGAAATATGTTAAAAAGTTTTCTGCATAGATTTGTCTATTTTACCTTCATTCCAAACTCTTTATTTTCACTTTTATCTCTAATAGTAATTTTTTTCTTGATGATTCTAATTTAACTATATTTGCTTTATTTTGGTTGTTTGCATAATGTGTCTCTTTTATTCATTTAGCTCTAACTTATGATCCTTATGTGTAAAGTAGGTTTCGTATTGGCAGCATGT